AGTCTTGTACAGTCTTTTGTCTGAGTTGAGGAGCATACTGGGATGTATTATTAGCATAAGGCTCCTGGTATAAATGATTGCTTTTTCAAACCAGGGGAGGGGGACAATATGCATCCTACGAACCCCCTGGCTGTTAACCCTCAACTGATGATTAACAAAGCAGCAGCCAATCTAGATAAGGAAGCCTAAACCCCCACCCCGCATCCCGTCTCTCCCGCATATATGAACAACCTTGTAGTAAAAACCGGGATATAGTTCTTCTACCAAGATAACTCCCAAGGGCACCCCCTTTAGTCACTAGTCAGGACTCCCTCATACCTGTAGTGTTGTGCATAATTTGCGATTCGAGAGTCATTTTTCCAAACGGTATTAAATGTGAAACTTACCTTGGGTGTAGGTTACTAAGACAACGAGAGAATAGAGGATTCTACAAATGAATATACCAGAATACATCTTTCTTTGATATGAAATTAACTTGCATGCAATAAGATTCTTTTTTCAGTCATTTAAAAGGGTATTTATTTTGAATACATTGATGTGAGGAAATTTCAATTTTTTTATTTGTATCAACACTGGCAACAAACTGTGGTGTTATTGATAAACAGTCCTTTTTAAATTTAGAAATACTTAAGCCGGCGTACCCGACCGCAACATGGGGTATGTCATCTCTGATTACGAATCTTTTGCCCTCCACTTCGTTTCAAAAGTTCACGTCGATAAAACAAAAAAAAATAATTGATATAAGGACGTTCGGTGTTTCTGTAAGCGGTTCTGATCGAGAGCTGACTGCAGATTGGAAGTCAAACGTATTTGGTAAATGACATTGTATTTTCTATTTACCTTTTTCTCTATTTCTTGCTTTTCCCGTTCTCTTATCGCGCTTCTTTGTAACTTCCTTCGTGCGAGTCTCCGCGCGTTCAAAACATTTCCAATATTCGGCGATTTAGCTCTTGAGTAATCCATAACTCGATGGCGCCGGCAATGGAGTATGTGTATTTTTAACAGTTGTATCGAGAAGCTGTTGTTTGACTTTTATACTGAACAAAGTGAAAACATTAGCAATACGTGGTCTTTCTACAATAAGATAAATATCAGTGAATAAATTGGATTTGTCCTATCAACGATGCTTTTTTTGTTAAGCAAAGTGGTAACGTATGACTGAAATTGGCATGTTAAATAGCAGTTAGTCTTGAAAATTTAATGATGTTTACAGACTTCAGATGGTACCCTCAATACCTTATTTTTTTAGAGATTAACATCGTGAATCGACGTAGCACAAACAATCGCGATTTAATAGTTTTCCTCTCGAGTTGTGACATATAAGATAAAAACAAGGGATGATTTTGTTTGTGGTAGTGCATCAACGCGTCAAACCAACTCAAAAGTGAAATTAAACTTAATTGCTTTTCATTTCCACGAGTCTTGGTAAGTCCTTACCAGGAACCTTAGGCTAACTTTATGAAATGAGTCCTAGAAAACACTGTTATGACTGAATTCTAAAGACAGAATATTTTTCTTAGAGTATTCTCGTTAACAAACATTGGAAACCTATTGCTGTGTCTCAAGACAATATCGATCAGCATTTTTTCTTGGTTTTCGTTAATCAGTTGTTGATGAAAACTGTGCAGCTGTTTTTGAAATAAAAGATTGGCTTTCTTTGTCATTGGATTGGCTTCCTCAGACGAAAAAAATTATATAAAACCGCAAATATGTTTGAACTCCTGAAAACTTACGAGTGTGGCAAAGTGACACAAAATTCAAGGAAGAGTTTTAAAGAGGGAATTGAGTTATAGAGATTCGTTTAAGATTGACATTTTTTATTATCAGTTATTCCCATTCTAAATCAGACCGAAATCAGACCGGACAATTTTCTGTATTTGAAAAACACCCAAAAACAGTGTCGCCATCTTGTCTTAAAAACTAAATGACTGCTGTTTACGAAATTTCGATGTTAACGTGGGGACATAATTTGTACACATCACTTGATTATAAAGATAGTGCGCAAGGAAACAAAATAAGATTGAGTATTACAAAATGCCAAGCTCGGACATAAAAAGGTCCACAGAAATGAAATCACAAGTACTATTGTGGAAGGAAGAGAGATAAAATGTACGCTACGATTTTTGAAGCTCTAGTGGTTTGGGATATGCAATTTTAAGAGTCTCTTGCGCTAAGAATTAATTAGTGTGACATTTTGGAAGAACACATTTTAAGTCCTTTTTAACAGCTCATAATGTAACTTACCGGTCTTACTATCAAAACAACTTGTTTATCACAACTTCAGTTCAAGAAAAACCCGGCCAGAGAAGAGGCAATATGGGAGAATCTTTTTTTTAAGCGAAGTCTGCCGAGATCTTCTTTGCCGTCTAAGTACAAGGCCTTTGTCTTCTGCTTTTCCGGCTTTTAGTAAGAATTGACATTTCTGAAAGGAGACTGATTAGTAGTGTCATATTTCGCAGAAAGTAATTTGCAATCCATTTTCACTTCTTTCAACAGATATATCAACGCACGACCACAAACGAAGTTGTTGTTTCCCCCGGATGCATTAGACATTTCGAAGCTGAAATACAGTTTTATGACACTAACTGCAAACGAGTGCGAGAGGAGTTGTCATAAATTGAGCCAACAGTTTAGCCTACGGCTCCCAGTTACTAGTCATGAAATTTTTAATTACATTGCTTGCGATAACCACCAAGTTATCTCTAAGGTAGAATTAAATCTTAGGTATATTTTTCGAAAAAAGTGAAGGGGTACGTGAATTTTTGTCTCCATATTTACCCCGGAAGTTTTCTTTAGCACTGTGGATGAAAAATAGAAGAAATATTTTCTTTGAGGAGTCTCGTGTTTCTATAATAACGTAGATGCTGACCTCAGATCACTGTGCGGTTGTCGCATGTTGCAGAAGGTACAGTTTGTCGAGGGTTAACCAACCGATAAGTGCCCTGTGTGGTAGTCCTCTCAGCGCTAGGTTAGGTGCCCTGTGTGGTAGTCCTCTCAGCGCTAGGTTAGGTGCCCTGTGTGGTAGTCCTCTCAGCGCTAGGTTCTCTATACGATAAATAGGTTCAGATGTTACGTGCCCTGTCCTAGAGGTTCACCAAATGCTAGACAACCCATGCAGAAGGTTCGCTTTCCTGTCTACAAGCTTCGGCTAATGCTGGGTCTCCTGCTTGGTAGGTTTATTTATCGTAAGGCACACTATTCAACAGGTTCAATTCCTGCCGGGTACCCTGTATTGGTATTGTAGGTCTACTTTACCTTACGGCAGAATGTTCTAGGTGCAAATATTGTGGCTACACACTGTGGATGGTTTCTTACAAGGGGTTAGGGTTTATTACAAAGCGCAAAAATCCTACAGAATTAAGAAAAAAAACATACTTTACTTTAATTGACCTCATTTCTAAAGAAGCAAAGGATCATCCTTTGCTTTTAACAAAGTACACTTTCTTTTCACAACTGGTTGCCAACTATCCAACTGTTTTCTTCCTCTACGAGAATTGCGACAAAGCTACACATTTAGAAAAACTAGAATACATCAAACAAATTAAAGGCCTTAATAAAGCAGCAGAGCACAGTAAGAACAGCACAATGTTTGAATCATTTTTTGGAGTCCAAAATGAGCCGCTGTTTTTCGAACTGCTGTGTCACAGAACAACGATAGAGAAACTCTATTACGAATTGACAGCAACAAAGTTTACTGCTAGAAGTCTCCGCAGCACGTCAAGTTAGATCTGTCAGTTCTAAGGTCATACATTGGTTTGATAAAGCTACCAAAAAGATATGAAAACGATAATCTACATAACACACCCTGGGTTGACCACATTCTTGAGTCACTACGTCTTGACCTTTAAGATTTTGAAGAGGAAGTTAATTGTTGTCATGCAGGCTACATTAAGGTACACGTACAAACTTAAATGAAAAACAACAACTAAAGACGAATCAAAACAAACAACTTGTTCTTTTAACTTTCCTAAGTAGTAGGAAAAACTAAAAATACTGACACTACTCTTATTTAAGTATACAGTGCACTTCTAAAGCAAATAAAATTCAAATAATCGATAGCAGTTGTGCTTGTTCATGTGTTTGATTATTTCAAACAGGTCGACAGTTTGGAATACCATTGAATCGCCTCCACAGATCTGAGAAAATTCTCAGGATTTTAAACATCACTCAAAGCAACAAATTAAATTTTAAAAAAGCCCGTCTGTATTTGGGAGGTAACAGATTTTATCTTCGTTTAACAAAAATTAGAGCACTTTTCAATTGATCGTCACCACCGGGATCTATGATTGGTCAAGAAAAATTCGCGCGACTCTCTCAACCAATCAAATACACAAAATCCTAATCAATCGTGATTCGGTCAGTCACGTTTTCCCACGCTTCAAAACGTTAGCTTGTTTTCACCCTGTGTTCTCATTTGCTCCTTGTTTCCTTATGACTGGCCTTGGTGAAAACTCTGGCTGCAATTTTGTAACGTTCGAATGAAACGCGCTCTAAAATACATAAATTTTAAGTAATATTAGACCTATGATTTCATATAATATATACACTTATATCAGTAACACAGTCCAGCCATAACATGGTCATATAGTTCAGCACACTAAGTTGAATTATGCTGGTGCAATACAAACCAATATGATAAAAATACGTCTTATTGCCTTAAAAATATATTTGTTATATTGTTCAGTAATCTAACTTCAATAAAATATGTTGACACACTTTAAAAATTAAGTTTGTATCACATACAGTACTAAGATGCTTTCCACCTCTATAAAAAAAATTATTACTCTTCAAAACTTCTACACATCCAGTAAAGAAATAGACGGAACTTCTACGTATGAAATCTCCTTTGATGCTGACTTTATAAGAAATAAGTAAATTTTTCCTATCCACTAAAAGGTTATTAGCTGAATCAATTTATCTTAGACCGATTTAAGTTTATAATTGAATAATAACATCATCTTTTGAAAAAAAACGTGAATAGAACAAAAAGCGATACGATAATGTGGCAGTCCTCTAGTTTTTTTTTAGTAAAACCAAAAGTACCCAGAGGCCCGCGAGTATGAGTTTGTCACAATACAGTTACGAGATAACCTTACAAAGGCATTCTTATTATATGAGATCTTTTTAAGTTAACATGCTGACTATGAAAAGAAACCAGAAAATTACCCACTAAAAAGTCCTCAGACTAAACATCTTCTCCTAATCTGATAAAAAACCGAAACAATCAGTGGTTACAACGATGTTGGTGTTGTTAAAACTGTTACAAACACTCGACCAAAATCCATCATGCAACGGTGCAAGAAGTGCAATAAGTACAGACATAGGAATTGTCTAGCAATTCACAATTTTTGATAAACTTTACGTAGTAAATAACACATAAGGAAAAAAAAGCAAAGAAATGAATCCCCAAGCTGTGTTCTCTATCATTCATATTTCATTCTTTATAAGACAATATTAAACTTTAGTTTTCAAACTCGTTTCATTTGTCATCTTCTACTAATATTGACAACTTTAAACTGTGGCAAATGTGGAAACAGTTAAATCAAAACACGGTGGCTTTATAAAGAGGTTATTTCTTGACACTGTGGAGTAAACAGTTTCCACATGATACTAAGTAAAAAAAGTCATTATTTTGTTAAAAATACTTTTCTCAGATCGCTATTACTTGGAAAATAATCTTGATTAAAATTCAGCCGGTAGCAATGCTATAAAAGCTAGTTTCCTTTAGCTTAACCATTACTGTATCAACCAAAGTATGTAAATAGAACTTTTTGGATGTAAAAATGCTACCACTACTGGTTACGTGTAAACACGATGGAAAACCCCTAAGTAGGCATTTTATCTCTTACATAAAGTGAAATAAATTATAACTTTTTAAACATCTAATTAGATACTATTATAAGAAACATAAAAAAGTATTTAAAATTGGGGGATTCTTCACTGGAATGTTTTCAGGGAAGTTCATGAATTTCTGCTTAATGTAAGCTTGTACTTCACAATTTAACAAAATCCTGAAAACACAGTAACATTATAGACAGTGTTCCACTTATGGAAACTACATCAATGTTAAAAACATAATTTTATAAAACATTTAACATAATTTCAAATATGCATGGCTGGACTGTGTTATTGATATTAAAGTATTGAGAATTGAACTAAATTGTAGGAAAAATGTTTCAACTTATACTTAATTCTAAAATAGACAAACAAAAAAACTGCTACCTTCACCTTGAAGAAAAAATTATCACCCCGCAAGTCAGACATGGCAAAAAATTAGCCACAGATGACTGTCTTCCCACCTTAGTATGAGATACTTATCTGGAACAGATTAACCATGCCACCTTGTCAAAAAGTCCTAAAATATGACAGGACAAATGTATTGTGCTAAAGGAAGAGACATGTTGGGAAAGAAGGGTGTCTCTTTGAAGAACCTTTGAATACAATTCCTGTTTCCAAAGATTGCACATACCCAAATTTTCAATTGTTTCAGAAATACATCTTTTCACTTGCTGATATTATTTTGGGTGAGAAGAAGAAGGCAAAGAGAGCGAGAGAGAGAAAGAGTAAAGCTGGAAGGCAAACATGATGAAAGAAAATTAATGATCTAGAAGAAATTTTTAACCACCAGTTTGATTTTCTTGCGGCACACTGGACATTTCTTTTTTTCTTCCTTTAGTCTCTCCGCACATCCAATGCAACACACAAGATGACCAGTTCTTCCATGAACAATACTAGCATTTCGAGGTTGCGTCAAGCAAATTATGCACAAGTCAGGTGTAAACCCTGATGCAGAGTTTTCATTGTTGAAGTTCTGTAGCAAAGTTTTGCTGGGATTTTCAGCTTTTGATGTAGTGTGATTTGAAGCATGAGACAGTCTTTCAGTATTCTCCTTTACTGATGAAGATGAACCCTCAATATATGATGCAAGATTAGGAAGTGGCACAACTGTTGATAATGCCACTGTTGAGGATGGATGGTCAATGGTTGGTGTAACGGCAAGTGACGAAGATTTTTGAAGAGAATGTGAGCATGATTTGTCTGTTGATCCTGTTAAATCTATATTAGGTTCTGAAGTCAATCTATAAATAGAAAAGAGAAATGTAAAAATACCTTAGATAGTACTGCTTCCATATTGGTTGTGGTTATGTCAAGCTATCATGAACCTGAGTTTCGGACTCAATTCAAACACCTCAAATCAAAACTTACTGTCGAGTTACTGAAAATGAACAGATAGATTCCATGTTGCTGTGCCTGTTTGGCAAAAGATCACAGATGACATCACAATGTGGAAAACAAAAAGGGACATACAATGTACAGCCAAGTGTGTCACTGATGTTCTTGCCACATCATAAAGTCTTCTGTAATCTTTAACTGTACAGACCCTCAACAACATTGAAATTCTAAAAAAGCAAAATGTTGATAATGATGATGTCATCTATGTGTCCATCCTCCAATACCCAGTCAAAATGCATGTAAAACTACAAATTAAACTGAATGTGTACAGACCTTTTCAATGTAGGCAGCCAGGCATGTCTCTCAATCCAGCAACGAGCACATCGGGGAGAAAATGGATGGTTTTTCAAGTCACAATGTGAGCATGCCCAAAAGTCATCTTCATCAAATTCTGAATCAGATTCCCTATCCCCTTCATACTCATCTCCTCCTTCAGCCCCAGGATCCTCTTCTGAACTGGTTATATTTTCTTATAGAGAACAGTAAAAGCCAATGAGTATTGAGTTCAAATACTGTTACATATCTACCTCAATTCTGTTTTTTCTCTGTTCTGTCTGTTTTACTGTGGTAAAAGTTACTTGGGCATCTCAAAGGTTTATCCAAAATTTCACGTAATTCAACTTGTGAAAATGCCTTTGCACTAAAATGTACACGTTGAACTCTGCAGCTCAATATCTCTTGCTCTGTACTAAACAAACCATCCCAGACAACACTTTGAATCTGCCCCTCTAGAAGGATGGGAAGAAACATTCCATGGAAATTAAATATAATTACAATTTTGGTTCCTTTGACTTCACATTTATTTCTGATAAATGTTGGCAAGTTGGTGATTCCAGCAGAAGACTTATGTACCATAAGTTCCCTCTTATATGTTCTTCAACCAACTGCTTAAAAATGCAAACAATGTTTACTATCACAAACCAGTATCACTTTCATCGTCATCTTCCTCTTCTTCCTCAGGTTCTTCTGTGTCAGAATCAGGAGGCTCATATTCCACAGTCTCAACATCTCCTACAACAAAATAAATACACATCAGCCTATCATAGTTAAGTAAGAAATTGACCAAAAAAAAAAGGGGCTGCACCCCTTCCTAAAAGGTTGCATGTACCTCATCTGTAACCAACCCTTGCTCTTTACAAAAATGACAAATCAGATGAGTCACTTTCAAATATTACTGACGTAAAAAGATAAGTTTACAAATTATCACTTATTAGGAGAAATTACAGCTGATCTTTATAGATCCCTCAAAGTAAATTTTAGTCTTCCCTTCTTTACAGCTCAAGTGCACAAAAGTAACATTATTTCAGCAAAGCAGTACTTAACCCTTTGACTCTAATGAGAGACCAAGACAGAATTTCTCCTTACAATATCAATACAAAATCAAGTAGATTACTGATGAGAGTAAATAAAAATATGAATTAGGGGTTTATTGGTTGATTTAATGCCAAAGCCCCCTACTAACATGATAAGAATATGAAGGCAGACAGTATAGAGAATTACTAATATGATCACCGGAGTGAAAAGGTTAAATGTTGCAGGTTTTAGGAAGATGCTAACTTGCATACCATTCAGAAAAAAAAGATCATCTTCAGAGTCAGTCACAATAGCAGTCACAGCAGACTCGTAACCTTTCACAAAGTAAACTGTGCTGGATGATTCAGACACTTCACTCTCACTTTCTGATGCTCTTGTTGCTTTGAACCCAATACACCATGGAATTCGCTCTGGAGGACTGTAACTACCTTTCACCCCAAGAACATCTGGAAAACAAGAAAAACACTCCAGGTTAAAGTTCAATATGACAGTCAGATTTATTTTTACTATGAAACATACGAGTAACACACTTAGTAGAGTTGTCTACAATTGCAGAAATTAATAAAGACATGGTTTTATACCACAACTAGTGTGTATTTCACTCTAAATACACCAGCATTAAGAATCATGATTTTATAATGAAACTAACTGGCACCATGACAATTAAGTGGTCTGTTTATGAATGATGTTCTAATGACATCATGCACAGCAAGATATCATATACTTTGGTCTTGGCCTTCAAAGGTAGAGAAGGGAATTTTCAAATCAAATACCCAAAAACAGGGAACACTTAAGAACATAATCGGTTCAACTTTATCAACAAAACTGTTCATAGTTGAAATTGCATCTCAGGGCACAACCTTTGGCAGAAGACAAATATTTTTTTAGCAGTTAAATTCCTTCATAAAATAACCAAATATTTTTTAAATTACAAATAATGAGATTGGATCAGTTTATCCAATTGAAACTAATTTCCTTTTGAAGCAAGAAAGCTGACCACAAAAATACATCTAAAGAAAGTATCTCCATACCTGTCCATGATCCTCGTTTTCTTTTTCTACCTTCCACACTTTTCTTCTTACCAAAGCCTCCTGTATTATTTAAAACAATTAAGGTATAATGGGTCTTTCAGTAACCTGCCAAAACTGAATGTGGGCCACAAACTGGCATGACAGCATTTCAACCTTATTGATCTCTTCAAATCTCATAACAGAATTATATCATTACTTGCATTTCACATTCAAATGCTGTAAACATTACTCTGAAAGAACAATATATTTATACCTTGTGGTTAACTCTCCTTACAGAGAACATTTAGTCAGATTGCCATAAGAGGGTTAAAGATAAACATTCTGCTCAGCACTACCATAATATTTACTGTAAGAGGGTGCTTAACAATAGATGACAATGTTTTTCATCCTATACTAAATTGCAGGAAGTACATAGTTGCTTTATTAAGTTAAGAGAGAACACTTTTTCACACGCACTGAGTTGGTATGTTCAAGGATGGCTTAATGACATGTTGCAAAAACATGTCTGTGATAATAAAAATGAAAAATGTTAGATGCTAGTTATAACATGCTCATAGTCATGGTGCTAATTTGGACACTATAAACATTGAACATTGGTTACCTTGCTCATTGTCTGAACTATCACACTGTGGACCAATCCGTATCTCACTAGAGAAATCAAATAAATAAACATTCATGAATATAAATTAGTACAGCTTTAACTAACTGATGAATTAAGTAACACTCCTTCAAATTGGTCCATGAATTTCATTAAAGATCTGTTTTCTTGAATGTATGGTGAGGTCATATGATTGTAATCTGACAAACAGAAACAATAGAATTGAGTTACAACAAAAAGAAGGTGGGTGAAAGGATTAACCTTTGAGCTCTGAGATGTTTTCATAACAGTTGGTTTTGGAGATCCCAACTTTTCCATGCACAGGGTCACACAAACAACAAAACATAAATAACTTGTTTAGTTAAATCATACTAAAAGCCTCACATAAATAACATTAAATTAAGAGACAATTATTGGTACAAGGAAGCTTGTCACATCATGGATAGATGTCCAAAATCTTAATGCAATTTTCAGCAAAGTTATCATCTCAGAGAGAGCTTGCCTCTATTTTAAGGTACATTGACATAAATAACCATGGCCCCTAAAAATTGTGTTCAGTACAGTTTCCAAACCATGAATCTTTCACCCTTTTCCAAAATCTCTCCATGTACATCCAATTCACAAACCACATATGTGTACACTGAATTTCACCTTTTAAATCAATAAGGGTGAAACATAAAGTGCACCTTTTAAGTGCTACCAAGTGTCTTACTCCTTAACAAACAAGGGGGAATTTTAGTCTATTTTGACAATCTTGGCATGATCAAATCCCTTATTCTCATAATTAACTAGTATTGGTAAGGAAATAAAGGGAGGAAGGTTTGTCCAGCCGCTTGGGACTTTTAAAAAACTGCATGAAATAGATGTACAATATAATAGTTTGCACTGCACATTAAAAATTCCAAGCAGTTGTTCCAGTTATGTCTTATGCAGGGCTTGCGCATTATGTTCTGTTGAAAGAATGAAATAAACATTTTTACTCCACCCTGATAACCCAGGGAGCATGCCAAGGCCAGCCCAAGAAGAGCCCTTATCTTTTTGCTGTAGAAAAAAAAAACAGGCATGGGGCATTAAAATAGCATTATAAAAATAGAGAAAAATTTGCATAAGCTAATTGGTGCAATGCTGTGCTGCTCCAACACTAATTCACCAGTTTTCATGAAGTCCTACAATAAATTCATGACCTATGCTTTTTTGCACACCAGTTTGCTAGAACCTCCACTATTTATCAATTCACTGTGCTTAATGAATATAACCTAATTGGGGGATTGCATTTATAGCAGTGAATGCATCAAGGAAAAAATCTGGTAGCCTAATTCAGATGCAGATAAAAAAAATGTGAGTTTGTATAATTTAGCAACATATAACATTTAAACTCATATTATTTGAAAGCAGTGAACCAAATCTAAATGAACGGGTGAGATTGTTTCGCTGGAGTGACCACGTTTTTCTAATAGCACTGGGGCAGTTGTTCAGACTCGTTCGATTAACAAGCCTCGACTTGTCCTAGGTATCAATACCGTAGTGATGCAGCCATCAGGATGGAATGCGAATGTCATTTATTGGCGATCGTAGATCACGAACGACATCTTTAAGCCTCTGTACCGTGCATTTAACAGTTCGGTAACTTATTTTGCACCACGCTCTCCTAGGTCAACAACATGTAAATGCAAATAAAATAACACGAGGTCTTGCTTTGTGAAGCGAAAAGCAGTGTGCTGTTGACGAGATAAAAGTATTGCAGCGTTTATCAGACGATGTAAGCCACTAAGTACCGAAAGATTTTGAGCTCTTAATATCGCTAAAAGAATGTCAAGATCGGCAAGAAGATGAAAAAAAGAAAAAAAAAACAATAAACCCGATCATATCACACAACACACTGATCGAATGTAAGATGAGGGCAAAACAGTGGGTTGGTTCCTGGGTCACTTGGACGAAAAATGAGAAGAATAATTCAGAATCTTAACAGCAAGGCTCTTATGATAACAAACAGATGTTCTGAGGTCTGATTGAGAGGGAAAGGAAAGTAAAAACAGAGATGCCAAGAAATTAGATACGGTCTGGCGTTGAGCGTGGGAAAACGACCTTTAACATTTTGCTATAGCCGCGTCAGTCGTCGGCTAGAGCCATAATCCGGGCTTTATTTCAATTTGCGTAGTGCGATTGAGGAATAATAATTCTTCACAGATAAGTAGAATGAGTCTTCAACAAATACACATGTTTGAGATACCTCCGACGAAAATGAAAGGCCGTAACGTGTAACTCGACCTCTTCACATGGGACAACAGATTATGTTCATGTAACTCGCGTATTAATGAATGGACAAAACCTTTCTTGAACAATCAACTCATCACCTAAGATTCACTGACCTCTAAAATTCGAGTGAAATTCTTACGTTTCTAAATAGCTAAGGGCGCGAAAATTCTCGGCTTACATTTCTCAAGTGTATTTTAGCGTGGGTACCATTCTGTGAAGATTTCGGATATGTCCTTTCACGTCCCAAGATATAGCGCGGCGAGAACTGTGGTATTCACAGCAATGGAAAACAGGGAAACGGCAAAATTACTTAATTAAAATGTATCCCGAGTTAAATGTTTGCCGTGGATTTTGTAATCAATGAGAGATTTCGCCATAACTTTTCCATGCGATTACAAAAAAATATTCACGGTTGAATTTTACATTCAAAATATTGCAAAACAAATGTCTGTTTAGCTGACTATCACAATCACATTATTCAAGCAACCCTAGCGCAAAATTACCAATAAAATCAAGGAAATAACTACAGAGAGCAAAAAGGTTGGGCTTACAAACAACAGCAAGATGTGAATTGCGGACAAGCCGACTTCGCTCTGAAGGAAGTTATAGTAACACTACTTATCGATACACTTGGGGCTCCCGATGACAAAATTTATCAAACAACTAGACTCATAAATAGTTGAAAGTACAGTCTAACTTACCAAGCCTTCTGCTCGACCAAAGCGCCATCCATAACCTTCTTATCAGTCCCTTCACTCCGCGCTCACCGATACACATGAACTTTCCTGTCCTTGCGTTCTGTCCATGGACTTCGAAGACAAATGCTTCTACACTTAGGAGAATTTCAGACTGATCCTCATCCAAACTTTCAGCTGAAACACTGTTAGATTTTCTAAAACAATTCTCTTCTGTTGAGAAAAACCTCTCTCGAACAAAAGGAATTTAGAAATAAACGACAAAACCAGGTTTAAATTGGTATCAAAAAGAAATAATGTTGTTCAGTATTCGGTTCGAAACCAGTAGTTCGAACCCTCGATGGACTTGAATTTCTCCCAAATGGCGCCGGAAGCTGGGCACACCGCACCGGATACCAAGGCTTGACAATGAGCGAACTTGTCCAAGCATGTCCTGATTATCATTGGCTGTTTAAATTTTAATCTTAGTGCTGATTGGTCTGTTTTTGACAGGTTTCTTTTAGAGCTATTTCACTTTCGCGCGCTTTTTATCAGCTAGTTATCAATGGCAATTTCGCGCGCATCAGTGCCCTTGTTGACCTTATTTTGTCAGTCGGGGAGCTTTCGCACACCAACCGCAAATTGTTTTGCTTGAACAGGTCGAAACATGAATTTTGACCTGAAAGAGAAATTTCTGTAAAAAGAAAACGAATTTCTTTTTTTTTAGAAATGAATAGCTATGAATCAAGGCTTCTTCAAAAGCCTTCAAGAGCAACTTTTTACAGTCAAAATTAGAGCAGACAATTCCAAAGTTTGTTGTACTCAAAAAGTGGCGTGAGCAACAATGAAAATAAACTTTATCATTCCACCTTAATTACGGCGCCCTTCAAGTAAATTATCCTAAATTGGATGGTTACGTGATTAACATAAATGCAAACATTTTAATGTCGCTTGGCATCAATTTATCCCCTCTGCTTTAGTGGGAATGTTTTCGCAGCCAAATATTTTCATTAAGACTAGTCCCTCTTGGTATGTTTGCAATTCGTGGATTTTTTAAAATCTATGCGATGAAAATGTGAAATCTGTTTCCCCTCTTACTGTTTTCTCCTTAGTACAAAATTTCAATCGGCATTTATTGAAACCTGTGATCCCTCGTAGGGATGAAATAAGGGGACAAGAGTGCAACCTTTTTTTTTAGGGACAGACGTTTTCATTGATTGATTGATTGGATTTTTTTAGTTTGGGGGTGGGGTGTGGGGGGAGAGGGAAGGAGGAGACTGCAAGTTTGAAATGCGAGAAACGAGGTTGAGCATTCCTGTGAGAAACCTTATCAAATACCCCACCGAGGCTTGATGATCGAGGCAGGGAACCTTGCCATTCCTTCTGTGCATCTGTTGGATTGACAAGCTTGGAGAGATCTTGTTGTTTTAGCTTCGTCCTTTTAGTTTTCAGACACGTCTTTACACATCATAGGAAAAACCTCTTTTTTTATTTGACACCTTGGCCTTTCTGTGAGTTTAGGTTTGTGGTTGTCGAAATAAATTTTACAAATTCGTCGGAGAAAAATCAACATATCCCTCGGTTTTTCAATCGATAGAGCACGTAGCGAATAAATTTTCAGCATTTTAAAAACTATACCGACAATTTTAGAGCCAGTAGAAAGTAGAAAGCAATGCTAAAACAAGAAGAAATATTCATTTAACCTATGCCTAGGACAATGAGTTTGAAAAATTGAGAATAATGCTACCTGCGGAGTAAAAATACAAGGCGCTTGGACGACTGACGAAAGCGAGCAAGATCCTCTTTTAAAAACCAGCAACTCCAATCCAGTTCAGTCGAGTTGCACTTCAGAGAACGGTATAGTCGTTTTTATGCCTACATTGCGGTTTCCGAGCTAAAGATGAAAACTCTCAGTTATGATTTAACGTCACGGTTGACAGAATTTATTTTCAAACTAATGGAAGCTTGATCTTTCTGAGTTGCTCGGGTCATCGAAAACATGTCATGGCAGGAGCCGGTAAAACTCAACTGACCGTAAAATTTTGGCCGGAGTACCATATAATAATTACCTTGCTTGTTCGAGCCACACCGGGGAATATTGGCGCTAGGTTAATAAGTAGTTATTACTGTCGCGCAAAATGTTGGGCTCGTTTTCTTGAGCGCAGTTGTCGATTTATTGTCCAATATGTGACGAGCAACTTCATGAACATACAGTGATAAGTGAAAAATGTTGTAAGAATGTGAAACTTGAAAACAATAATTAAGAATATGTATGAGTTTATTGCGGTCAGGTTGATAAATATGACACTGTTAATGAATTTGTTGATTTCATGAGAATCGACATAACATAAGAGGAAAGTTCGTTTATCATAGAAAGTATCACTTTTATAATATGATTACCACTTTATGCAGTAAAGATAACATGCAGATATCAACGAACGATAAAAATATAGGATATAAGAGATTTTTGAAGACTGAGAGTGTGCTACCTCAGATTAATAGTGATCGTAAAGGGATGATCAATATTAATTTCATTTTAAACGAATATTTAAGGTGATAAAATTACCCTATAAAAGCATACCAATATCCAAATTAAAAAGAGCATTAAAATTTTATAAGCAATCCTGGTGTAAAATTCAAAAACTAATCGGTGATGATAACAAAACAATTATACGGAGATGAATTTTTGTAAATATTATTCATCCCAATTTTCAACCAAAGGACACATCTCCTATGCTGTTCTTTTTAGCAGGACATCTGCAGCGCCTCTCTTACAACCATCTCTAAAATGAATTTCATAAATTCCACGTTGTTTGACAACCAATTCATTATTGACCTCAGCAAAATGCGAGCTGCTTGAACTGACAGTGTTAAGGGTACTGTTATCAAATTTGACGACTTTTTCGTTGTTGTTACTAGGACTGTGAATATAAAAAAATACATTTTCAATTTCTGTTGATTTGTAAGTTTGCATTGCTGTCAGAGGTCGTCTTAATGACATAATTTACGTTACCAGCGTAAGTGCTTTGATATGGTTGAGGTTCTTTGAAGTTTATGATACTTCTTGTATTCATATTGAGATTGCCAGACACCATTTCTGACCCATCGATTTTTAAAAAAATTGTTCGTCTTCGTATCAATGTACCGTTTATTACTACTATCTGTTTGACTAATCGGGTCAGCTAGATTAGAAATTGCGTTTCCTTTCACATCGAGGCCGTCAGACAAATCGAGGGAGAAGGCTTTTGAATCAATATATATTTTGTTCATAACATCTTGTGGTGATGAATTGCTGCTGTCATAGTATGGAATCAACAGTCCTGATTACAAAGTCTGTGGAAGCAAGTTATCCATATCCGGCGACTTTTTCGCTAGTTATGTCAGTCATCTGATGATAATGTAACAGCGGCATCAGCATCATTTTGACCTCTTCTTAAATCAGTCATCCGCTTATTATCAGCATCCCATGCATTATTTTTTATCAATTTTTAAACCAGTTGAATCACCCTTAGGCCCTTGAATTTCATAAATTTCTCACCTTTTGGTGCTTGATCACCAGTATCACCTATCAGACCCTGAGCACCTGTATCACGTTTTGGTTGTCAAGCACCGGTATCATTTTTTGGACCCTGAACTCCTTGAGGACCAGCGGATCCTGGAGGCCCCTCCCTACCCTGTTCTCCATCATTACCTTTCAAATTTTCTTTAATGTAACTATCACCATTAAATGCTCCCATATATACATATGATTACATATTTTTGAAGTAGTGTTTGATCAATTTTTCATTATGATTGGTGCCGGTTTGTGAAAATGGTTTTATGACATCATAATAATCTTTTTGTCTGCTTGATTCATTAATGTAATACTGACAATAGTAACTACACAACACACTCATCAAATTTTGATACTGAGTACTGTTATAAAGATAAATCAATCCCCGTTTATCTGACAACTGAACAACTTCTGGTGGACAGAATGAATTCCGGGTTCAATTTTGTCATCCAAATTCGTGACGTAATAATAACCGTTTTTGAATTGATTCTGTATTTGATCCATTGAAAAAACACCATTGAAATTTTTGATTCTGAAGTATTTTATCCACTTAAAGATATCAAAGTTCTATATCACAGTGTCAACAAATTCGGTTCTTAAAATATGAGTAACCCCGTTGTGACAACAGAAAATGTTTGTTTGGAGACTCTTTTAGTTGTGTTAATTTTTGTTTCTATTTGTGTTTCCAATGGTTTGATAAATTTCTCTCCTTTATCTTCTTTGGGAGTGTCACGAATTCCTACCTTTTTGGGAGTGTCATGAATTTTTTCTCCCTTGCGAGTGTTAAATTTGTCACAAATTTTACTCCGATAAGCTGACCTGTTTTGCTTCCAACATTTTCTGCACTTTTTTCGTTGGCTTTTGTTGCTGCTTTTGTGGCCAGATCTTTGGCAACTTTCCAGTCAGTTTGAATGACCAAGATCAAAAAATCCTTCATCATTTTGTATATTTTCAGCAGGCTTCTTGGTGTCCACATTGTAATACATATATTGAGTAAGCGTTTCATGCGATCAATTTAAAAAAATTGATCTCGTTCGGCCAACTCCCACACTACTGACAAGTGCTTTTGTACACAGCTGACACCGATTTCACATACTTTTTAAAAGTATCTTTATTATCATATCTCACAACTGCACAATTAGTTTAGTAATAATTATCTCGATGCTTTTGTAAATACGGGCCGTAATACATTTTATGAATTGACCGGATATAGTTTGGTTGAATAGCTTTAAATGTTGTTTAAATTAAAAATCCTCGCCCTCTTTCATCGTGCAATAGAACCATCTACTGTCTTGCTATAGTTTGGTCAATTACAGAAAACCAAAGTAATAATTATTTATCACTTAAAAATATGTGTTATATGGAGAAAACTCGAAAAATCTTGGTGCATACGCTGCGCGATGTATTATCAATTATTAGCGTTCCGCAACTGCACACGTTTAAAAAAAGGCGTAGTCATGAGTGGGGACTGAGATATGATGTATAACACCTTGAGAATGTCAGAGAACACCAACCTAGCAAATATTTATGCTCTGATGTGTCCAAATTGGTGTTTTTTATTTTTGAGGTGTATGAAATATCTGTTTTCAGCCGAAGTTCAATCGAACCTCCTCTGAATATTTTGGTTTCTTT